TTAACGTGTAGTAAACTTCAGCGTCCAATAACTTTGCACTGAAATAATATTTTTTGTGGAATTTTTTTTTAAAAGAAAGCTCTTGAAAAGCTTTATCTGAACGTCTCGAAAATACAAATTTCGAAAATTCGCACTTTGAACCCTGGCCGATACCTTAAACAAATATTGTTGTGCAACCGTTATCAAACAACAACTCAGGCTTATTTTTTGAAGAATAAAGTCGGCCCTACTAGTTACGTCTTTTCTATGTTTTAATATTTAAGTAGTCAGTAGTTTCAAAAAGATAAATTAAATTCACGTAGGTGTTAACGGACGTGTTACAAAGTTCTTTTGAATGAAATCGACTTCTAACCTGTTTTTCGCGAATAACACATTTTCTTTTTAACTAGAGTGTTACTAGGAGATATTTAGTATAAGCTAAAATGTTGCATTTATAATCTTCACTAAAGAAATCAGGTTGGCCGCGTTTTTACATCGAAGAAAATACATGTAAAACTTTACATTAAGAACAGAACATCCCATAGATAACCATAAATTATTCCAGGAAAATGGTCAGATAAAATGCATTTTAGTATTTCACCCGGTCATGACACTAAGCCTAAATAAAGATAACCATTCCAATTAAAATAACACCAACTACGAAACTTAATGAAAAATGTTATCTTTGAGGTAATTTAACTCTAAGCACAAGCGAATTGAATGTTCACCGAGTTTTTTCCATCAAGAACTTCCAACAATAATTTTCGCCAATAACACTTGTAGGGAAATCAAAATAAGAGCGAATTAATGTGCGGACCACCTGCTTAGACAAAAAAGGGGTCATTGTAGTAGCTGTTGTGGAGAGGTGGCCGTTAGTGGGGTTGGACAGTATTATTTAAAGAAATTTCAACAAAATAGTGTTCAACTGTCAGTCCATTTACTGTTATATAACATATAATTTTCAGTCCGTTTCCAATCACTGGTGTAATTTTTACATCGAAACCCGATTATTTGAAGACTGTTAAAAAGCTGATTGAAAATGCTTGGCATGGACCAGAAAAACTGTATGGAGAGGCATTACTTTATAAAACTTGGTTGCTCCGATACACTCTGGTTAATTAACATAGTGAATTAACCACCACAGTTAATATTATTCATCGATTCTCAAAGTTTCTTTCATATAAAGGTGAATATACTTCTATGAGCGTCATACCACTGCAGTTCCTCTATAGCTACGTACACTTAAGCCGGCTAACTATTCTGAATGATGTTTCGATGTTGCGGTCCATGGTTGCGTCTTCATCAGCGCTTTCTTGATTATCATGCTAGAAGAAAAATGCTCTGTGTTTCTCACGCCATAGCACTTGCATTTTTCCTTTATAGTCTCCCTCGCCACCGAAATATCAACGCTGAGGTTTCCCTTCACAAACCTGCGAACGTTTCTTTACCTCCAATTTACTTCACAGCTGATATAAACACAACCACAGTAATTGCCACTGTAGATGAAGAGTTTTTGTCTGTCAGCACCAGTTGGAGAACCATTCTTGGCTGGAACTTCAGTTCTGCTGCAGAAAAACGAATACTTGCTTTGATGAACGCTCTGATCCCTGCATATTTTCGAATTGGAGGTACTGCTGCTGAATTTGTTATTTTTACTGACGAGGTGGAGAAACGTAAGCCACTGCGACCTTTTAAACCCGTACATATTACTGGTAAAGATTTGGACAGGATTAATCGGATAGCAGAAAACGCTGGCTGGAAAGTACTTTTAGCTTTAAGTGCGTCCCGAAGAGCAACAAATGGCTCGTGCGATCTAAGCAACCCTTTGAGGATAGTAAAATATGCAGCTGACAATGGATATAAATTTGGATGGCAACTTGGCAATGGTAAGTGCATTGGTGGGCCAATCAACGTCACAAAAAAATTGCTTCAGAGTGGTGTAAAGTACGCGTTTTTATTTTTATTGTCGTCGTAATATTATTTGTTATTTTGATTTTTTTCATTAAAAAATAAACAAAATAAAAATATATAAGAATACAAAAGATTTGAAAAAGTAAAAATATAAAAAAATTAACCTCCGTGGCCCAGCAACGCCATAGACCACAATGCATCGCGAATAAATGTATGATATCCCTTAATCCTCTAGAAAGCTTTCTTTTTAGGGCAGAGTGCACCATTGGGATGGTTATGGGAGCTGCCTGCCGCTAAGGTACTGTGGCACTAAGCACTAAGATGCTAAGGTGTAAACTTTAATGTTTGTTTAATTGATTAATTTCAATTAATTTATTAGTTTAGAGGCAAGGAAGTGGTGGGGGTGGGGTGGGAAAGATACATGTATCCTCTACGTAAAACACATTCCATCGCCGTCAGGAGGGTATGAACATCGCAAAGCTATATATCTGTTTCAGGTAACCCCTTGCTCTCCTTGTGGTACCATTCTCTTAGGAACAAAACTAATTTGCCCTAAACGCATGCGCAGATTAGTTAGCGTTCGTGGCTTCTATATTAGTTGAAGGATACATTGCATACGGAATCACGCACAGATGTTGAGTGGTTTTCCTTATGGCAGAACTCAACATATAAGACGCATGCGTTCTAGCGTCGTTACTGTTATACACTATCTTTAATTTCCACGCGGTATTTTATATGTCATGCCATGTGACAGCAGTTATTTTTCAGGTAGCGCCAATTGTCCCTTTTTGTTGCAAAAGTGAAACGTTACTGTGGCTGCGTAGCTTTTAGAATTACACATAGGTCTGTTCAACAAATATCATCTGCTGTTTTCAATCTACAATAGTGTGCTTGTCAGGGTTCAAATGTATTGCTTCTCCTTAGCGGCTTGTTTATTTCTTG